GGTATATGATTTGGGAATGTAGACTTGCGCTGGGACAGCCAAGATAGTTTGTGGAGTGATATCTCCATTGATATGTATGTGAGGTTATCATGATGATTGTTAAGTTAGAGATTGGGGGAAGCTCGTCCCTTCTTCCCTAGCTTATTGGCCTTTAGACCGATCACGTAACCAGTATGCAGTACACCAAAGTGTGCTGCCAATTGAGCAGCTATGCCATTTGTCCAACATCAACAACCCATCTCTCATATTGCACACCGTACTACTTGTGATGCCAATATGTAGAGACTGGATCTCCCTCATGCGCCATACCGCCACAATAACTACCCATGCACCAGCTACTAGATCTACCATAATACATAGCTGCGAATAACAATAAGGCAGTTATGGAGTAACGATACTGGGTTGTTCTTGCAGTCGGTCTCACAGCGAGACGCTGCCCTGAATATGGCACATACGAGGAATTTCTGCGCCCTAAAGTAGGATTATCCTCTTGATATTTTAGGAGTCCCATTGGGGACGATAATACGAGGAGAAAAGAATGCCGACGACGGCACAATGATGTACGAAAGAAATGGAGAGACAAAAGATCTGATTCCAGAACTAAAAATCAACCGGGTGGGCTGGCTTTTCGACGGGAAGGAGCCCAAATTGATGAGGAAAAATGATCATACTCGGGGATCAGTAATTGTGAGCCTACCGTCAGAGGCACTTTAATGTAAAATGATAAGAGACGGCATTTTTTCTACTCAATGTTGTACACGGCCCAGCTCTGGTCATGCCGTGTGCAAGTTAAGCAGTGCTTCAACTGTACTCAATGGGGGCATACCCGAGCCTCTTGCAATAAGTCAAGGAAATGTGGAGGGTGTGCAGGCACCCACCAGATCAGGGACTACGCGAAACAAATCGATGCTTTGTGTTTGAGATGGAGGCACAGAGTGTTGTGGACGTACGGGCCCTCCATTTCTTCTTGGTTCTCGACACTATCTTATGTGTATCTAAGAAGTTAGAGTAAGTCATAGGATTGCTGTCGGTATATCACGGGTATTAAATGGCCAACACAGTAGGTTCTGAATCCCGAGGGGTTAGTTGTTCTTCTCTATTCTCTATCTAAGCTATCTAGTGAGTTACTCTATGTAGATGCCAAGGCGCTAGTGCAACCAATACGCGTATATGAGGGCCTACACTTCAGACCAATCAGAGGGATCCAAACACTACTGCTACTTAGTGGGTGATATGATTGTCTCTAAATAACCATATTTTCCGACAATTGCGCTTCAGGCTACCTAATAGACACATGAGCGGCTGCATGGCGTGGGCACAAGGAGGTTATTGGGGGTTTTATATGCTTCGATGGCGCCATAATCGTTTATGCTGTTGCTTAGGCTCCGTATGGCTTCCACTTCTATTTGTAGCGCACAGCTCCCACTCTCTTAGTCGCAATCCGAACATGATACTCTTTCGGTCAACTTCTTTCATTCCATGGATATTGCGCCCATATCAATGCGCGATATTTCCAACACAAGGGAAAATCAGGAAAAACCTTTGGCTACCCTAACATGTCTTTGTAATCTTGTATATAGTCACCGCGCGAGATATGGCCTCACAGTCCTCCCTTTCTCGAGGGAGGTAGGTGTCCAGGCTACCCATACTTTAATACGGGAAGATGACGACCAGGAGGCGGACCAAGACACCTTCCATCGTTGCCTTTTTTTAGAGTGTCGGTTGCACTATCCGAAATCGTTGCCTCTGCGCCCACAGATACTCCTGGGTCGAAAACACTCGAAAAATGTGCATCCCATCATGCCCATTTGTGACCTCTTCACTCGTTCGTCCCACGTCCCAGCTGCCTGTCTTCCCTCAAGATGTGAAGCCCCGTTAGAACAAAGGCCCGAGCTTTGTTGGTTATAACTTGATTTCCTTCTCGCAGGTAGACATAGCATCGCAAATTTGTAGTGGAAAATAGCCGGTTCTTTCATGAGGCAAATGCCCAATTGCAATTGGAGTAACGCCACTATCGGTGTTTGAGGCGAGGTGGTGTAGTAAGACTGAGGTGGAGGACTCGCATGAGAATGATAGGTCAAAATTTTATCAAGAAGTCGTCGATTTTAGATATGCTTGAGGTTTCCTTCTACTTCGATTCTACTTGGCTATCCCAGATGTGCAGAGCATACTGAGCTATTACACCGGCACTACTGGAAGGTGAAGAATTCGTCTTTGCCGACTAGTTCTGTGCAGGCGTATTTAGTAGTATTTTCGCCATCCCGTAACTGAGCGAGTAGTTTTTCATTTTATTGGGATTTCTAGATATGTGAAATGAAGCTTTGCGTCGAATAGACTTGAGGATGTCACGGCACCTCAATCTACTGATACCAGCTACAATACTCACGCCAGGCATCGCATTCGCTGATGTCACTGCTTGAGGGGGCACTAGGACCCGACCTCATCCATAATATCTGACCTAGAGAAAAATGAGAAAACCTCGGTCTATTTTAGTATTCCAAATTATTTCCATTCGCCCAATGATGCGGTAGAGAGTTCTGTTGAATCTGGAGCAGCGTCCATTCCGTCCCGACCGTGGCAGGTGTTCAAGCTACGCAGATTCTATCCAGAATTCTGGGAGGACGGAAGCTAAGCACCTGTCTGCGGCGTCTACAAATCTTCAGGGAGTAAGCAACCAGGGCCGGGATTCAGTCACGATAAACAGCAGATTTAAGAGTTTTCGTACCGATGGTAATCTGGAGGAGCTGAGTTGGTCTGATCTTTGTCGGAAACTCAACCAGTCGAGGTTTCACGACTTCACAAATCAACGAAATCAAGCGACAGCAGCCAAAATACGAAGCGCAGGTAGACCCAAACCACACTTATATTTATGGTCTAACACCTGAGCCCTTCATCGACTACATTTTTCCCGGATGGTCTTTACCAGGTGGAATTATCTCGCGGTCCTCCCCACCATCCAACCGCCTACCGAAACACTCTAAAAATCCAAGAGCCCAAGTCACAGTCTAAGGTGCAAGAGATGATGATGACCTTTATAGCTTTCGCGCGCTGTAAATGTACAGCCAAAATATCCATCTTTAATGCGTCTACACCTCGGCCAAGGGCAGACTAGATATGACATTTCACCGGCATATCAACCAGTTCACGGGAAAAGGCCAGGCTATTAGTACTTCAGTATCGAGTTCTTTGTTGTATATACAGTCTTCATGACTAGGACTATGGCAGCGACATTGCGGATTTGGCGAGTTTGACAACTTCAAAGTTTTCCTGATGGAAAATTTGACCAATAAAACAAGGTGATGCCACAATCGAAGAAGAAAGCAGAAGCAAAGCCAAGGAGGCCTTGATCGCTGAATCGGTGAGACGAGGACATACTGGGCTTGAGAGGAAGGGAAAATTTAAGAGCTGCAAGGCATCAGTGGCCGAGTCTTGTGAGTAATATGCGCCTCGGTCCGCGAAAGTCGCGATCTCTTGATAGCCGGAATCACAATGGTTCAACGCATGGCTCAAGCCTAAGATAGGATTATATTCATGTACGCCACAGTAGCTATCCTAATGAAGGCCGGCCGCACTCGTGCTCAGGTTTTTAAAGGACTGCGGTAGATGCCAATTGCCCGGCAAGTTAATATGTAAAGAAACAAACCATGACTGTCAGATCAAAATTATAGCCTAGAGATAATTCAATACATACTAAATCTCCAGAGGCAAAGTAACATTGGAGAATTATTGCCGAATCGGAAGGGTGTGATACGAAATGGAGTCAAATTTATTTTTACGTCAACCGGGCACTAGTTACAACTAAAGCCCCATCTCTGAGGGGAAATGGTGACTGCTATGTAATACAAGATGTGATGTGCAGTGGCAGAGGCCATGAAAATGCATTTAGAGACTGCGAGCGCTATGCAGCGGCTACCTCACAAGAATAGCTCATATGTTACGGAGTGGGCAGATTTCTGACAGGAAGCTAACCTTGTTCAAAATGGCGGCGAAATGCTCTGCTCCTGGGGAGGTGCTTAGGAGAAAATCGAGTGAGCCCCTACTTCGTCGATGGCCGACCGAAGCCAGTCTCTCGCAAAAGGGGGCAGAAATGGAGTCAAATAGAATGAAACAATAAAATATACGTACTCTGATCACGTGTATAACTTGATAAGAGACGCTGCACGGCAAGTGTAAGGCGTAGATGAATCAGGATTGAATTGATGTCCGACAGTGGTGATGTGAGTTGGGTCTTATAGAAGTCCCCATCCACTAAACTGTGTTCCAATTATCTACCCTATTCTAAACGTGTCTCATTCTCTCGTATGACTGAGAAGTACTCTATCAATGACTTAAATCATCAAAGTATGACTACTCTTTCACTTGACAGATCGTCTCTACAACTCGTCGCTTACATCACTCGGTAAATAATAAGTGACGCATCTATCGTCCAGACAGTGCACGGCTCGTAACTAAGTGAGTCGTGTAGTCCGATACTAAAGGTTCCACGTTCTATCTACTAGGACGTGATCTGCTTCCCTAACAGAACAGGAGTATATGGAAAAGATTACCCGGATATCCCCTTGCGATGAGCTACAAAATAGGAATCCGACTTTATGTACTATGCGAGCGCTAGTATACATGTGTTTACCAATCACCTTCGCTCCGAGTGCAAGTCTCTTGTCAAGCAGCAAGGACAAACACCCTCAGGTCTAGCCTTCAAAATACGAGCGGAGAGACTAGTAAGCTGCAACGGCCAAATAGAGTGGAATGGAACTGGAGACAACATATTCGGAGTCGGCTTGAGCCTGCAACAACGATAGACCGGCAACCATAGCGTGATACAAGGCAAGTAAACATAAATCACGTAGGTAATGTTCATTTCGAGCTGTGATACTGGTCATTCTTCCTTGAAACTCTATGTAAGCCCATAAAGTTTTTTATAGCGCTCTAAATGCTTTCAAAATTTCTCTAGATCGATCAATATAACGCCGTTTGATTCCTTGCGTTCTATGGACATGACATTAAGAATCGGGATTCAATTCCAAGCGTTCGAGCTGTAAAGTCTGTGAAGCAACTCTTCTACCCTATGATCATTTAGTGCCGCCTCTACGACGCACCATGGGAGGGGAATCCTCCTCGGGCAAGCGGTGTACTTTTGTTCGGCCATAGCGTCGCCTTCCATGGCTAACTGGAGCTACTTGAGGCTTGCTGTAGATATTAAAGTCGAGAAGTCGAGGAGGGGGAAGTATTTTTGGGCGTGAAGAGGGATTAGATATCGTTGGGCCTGGATAAGCTGGGTTTGGGTATTTATCATCTAGCCAAATTGTTCTCTTTTTCTCGTGATAAACATACCCACCTCGAGCCGTGCCAGTGGACTTGTTCTTATCCATCCAGCCATTGGCTCTTCTAGTCAGTTCCTTACCCAGGACAAGCGTATTGCAAGAGATGGTGGTCATAAAATCTTCTCTTCCATTTCTGTGATCATCTACTTCACCATCTCTAGTAGTAAAGCCTCTGGTATCTTGATTCAAAAAACTGCCGCAGCCTCTCCTGCAAGAATAACATTCTGGAAGATTTTTCAACGGCCTGGATACGGAGTTAGCTTGCCACAATTTTTCATGGCTACCAGCTCCCTCGTTGTCTTGGAGCTTCGTGTACGAATCTCTGAGTCTAAGCCAATTGTTCCATTGACATGATAAATATATTTGATCCCAACTGTTTTGTTGACAACTTCCATCCCAGTAGCCATAAGTTGGAAGGACAGTTCTCATATCTGTGCAAGCGGCATAGTTACATGGCACTTGATTTGGTAAAAAGAGATGAGTAGAATTCATATTTCTTATCAGAGGCAAGTGCCCTTGATGGATAAACTGCCAGGTAAGATTGCTAGCTGAGCAAGCATGCTCGTTGAGTTCAAAGTTTGGCGAGAAGGTTGACATTAACAATCCCATGATGACTACCTTTTTGGTTGAACAACGGTGCTAGATTTTGTTTGGACTTCAGTCTTTACCAAATCCTAGAATAGTAGGAAACTTCTATTCGGAAGTCGAGAAGGTGAGGGGACTAGCGCCCGCGGCAGTTGTGGATCATGTTGTGGACGCGAAAGATACGAGCGAGTAATCTGTTGAACAACTCCATCTTGAGCAGTGTGAGTGGGCCAAGGCCCCAACCCAAACTAGCTATACGTGGACGAATAAAACGACGTGGTCTCAAATCATCACTCCACCGGGTTTGATATAGATGACAGGCACATTCATTCGCCCCCGAATACCGGGGAGCTAACCAAGTCCAATTCGTGCATGGAAAGAGAAGACTGTGGAGAAATTTCTACCATTTGATCAAGACCGTTGCTCAATTGGCCACTAGTCCCGACTAAGGTGGGCAAAGACTGAACACCTGCATGTGGTATCCTCTTCGAAGCTGGGAGTGAAATATTCTCTCAGAACAAAGTTCAGTCAAGTTTCGCAATATCAAAGAAGTTGGCCCACGAGGCAATGATTCAGATTACTCTACAACGTCGTTTCTTCGCTCCCAACGACTTTGATTCCTACCTAAGTCTCATCAAGTCTACAAGTACGACTAAGTACATCCTCATCCCAATACCCAGACCTCTATTCGACTTTCTCTGGCCTCAGCTGGTCACCAAATACACGCCCACGCCGATATCTACACCCGACGGATGAAGCAAAGCGTGGCGCACAAATTTAGGAGGAATTTCTTTGGCATGGACGTGAGAGATATTTGAACGAGTTCACAAGATGACGTAGATAATGGATATTATGTCCATGGTTGTAAAAATTCGAATTTCGGCAAAGATTTCACGAATTGAATTTTGTGCGCGCCGAGAATTCGCTTGCGAGAGTGCAGCTAACACTATAAACACAAGCCAACGATATAATTTGCCATGGTTCGCCTCTTGTTGGTATTCTCCGGTATAGTTTGAGTAGCCAGGGCACCTACTCCACTTGGGAAGGAGACATCTCAGATCACATTTCGCGCGGAGTAGAGTCAATAGATGATGGAGGCATGTCTGGATAACTCGGGGGTATTTAACACGTTCCCCTGGATGGGTATTCACGGATGAGAGTTGATTTAGGGTGAAGAAAAAGCCACCATAACTTCGCAGTAGTACTTGCAAGTGAAATTCGAAGCATGAATACTCTTATTTTATGTTGAGTTATCTATCCTTTACTTTTTCTCTGTTATCATGTCATAGATAGATAGTCACATACTCTGTTAAAGTCTGATGTAAAAAAATTAAACCACTGGCATCAGAGTACTATATGATCTTAATATTACAATTAAGCGAAGGACAAACCTCAGTTTTTTATCATTTAACGTGTATTCAGCTAGATAGCTGTAATATATGATCAGTGGTATGTATAAATATTGATTAACCCATTTGACATTAGAAATACTCATATTCTGGATTTCATTCGCAAATACCACTATTGTGAAAAATAGCTTATGTTCGTCACATCATCTCCCCTCTCAAAAAAGTTCGTCGACGAGTATTTAGTCATCTCTTTATGACAGTCAAGATCGTTTTACTCTTCTTCTCCCTTTTCCCACCTCTAAACATATTTAAGCGGCTGAGGTGGAGGAATGAGTTGTTCTAGATTTTGCAGATTAAAATCTCTGATTTTATGAGGGGCGTATTTTAGATAAGAGGGTCGAATTCAGTCGAGATCGACACCTTTGGTGATCCATGTGATCCAATACTCGATGTGTTGCCGTTTTATCCGACTAGTCAGAACTTCTTGTATTTCCCATTCATGATCGCCTGTCAAGTTGATAGAAAACGGCTCTTCATTTATCTAATCTGATATTGGGTCCAATAAAGCTAGGCATAGTTTCTTTGGTGGAAAATTGTCATGCACTTTCATAATTGTGGGCAGCGCCAACCTGAAACTGTGTCCAAACTTTTCGGTGTCTAAGAATTTGCCATTTGTGGGGAAATGCAGCTCTTTTGATAGACTTTGCGTAGATAAATTTCGCATGTCCAATCAGACGAGGTCTTTAACTTTAAAGTTGACCTTGCGGCGATGGATATTGGTCTGGGTTATCATCTTAGATTGCGCTTTGAGAATGAGTTTCGGCAAGGAACCATACTTCGTATTGAAGATTAGCCATCAATTGTGAATCTTCAATTCTAATTTTTTCAGGTGGAGCTACGTTGTCGGAAAATTTCCAGTCACAAGTGGTGCGAGCCGGGTATCCATAGACAAATTCAGAGGGTGAAGGTCCTCTGTGAGAATCGTGGGGAGGCGTTAGTTGTGCGTAATCTATCATTTAGTGTAGCTCAGAATAAATTTTTGGTAAAACTTGACGAATAGTCGAAGGTGTTTTTGAAGATACTGGTTACATATTTTCGTCTGACTCTCAGCTGCGGGTGGTCAGTTGAAGAAAGTTCAACTTTGGTACCCAGCACTTTATTAAACTCGTTCCAAAAGACGGAGGTAAATTAGAGTCTACGGTAGGAAAGTATTATCGATAGGGGACTGAAGTAGCGGTAGATATGGTAAACATAAAGTGTTACGGTTTGAACGTGGTTTAGCTTTGGCGGAGACCTAAGCGGAGTTTGAAGGCGCAGCAGGGAGAGTGTTCCATGTTATCTTGCATCAAGCGACTAAGTTTCACTTCGCCATATTATATTGGGGCTCGGAAAGAATTTGAGATGGCAAAGTAGGATAACGATGGGCAGTGGCGGGGCAATATGTCATGCTCACCAATAGAGTACGTACTGGATGAGCTGGAAGGATATATAAACAGCAATTACCCGTAGTTGTTTTACTTCTTTATATAGTTTAATCTTTCTAAAAGTATAGTATAACCAGCTTGGTTTCGTCACAATAGCCATGCACCTCGTAAGCGTTCAAAACCCATGCGTACGTGTCCAGAATGCTTTAATTCATCGTGCGAGTAGATTATAATATCATCTAGATAGGCTGTACAAAAAGCATCAAGATTATCAAAAAGGATATCGTTTATGTAGTGTTGGTAGGTAGCCGGATCATTTTTCAGTCCAAAGGGAACAGCCTTACACTTATAAGCTCCATAACGCGTTCGAAATGCGATATATTCCTCAGATGAGAGATGTATTCTGAAAGGGACATCTTAAACAATGGAGATTTTTTGTGAGCTTTTTCGCCATCCCGATTTAGTACGGTTTTATGGTCGTACAGACGGTGAGGTGGAAGATTGTTACAAGTGGCTTTTAAAAATACTTTAGAATTTCGTAATACTTTTGGAGAATTTCATGGTCATCGTTGGCGTGTTGAAAAGAAGCAAGGAGAGCGGCTCGTTTATTTAAACTGAGGTGGGCTGTAGCAGCAGCAAGCACTGTCTCGGTTTCTCGTATTTGAATATCTTGGTATTTCTCAGCGGGCAGCTCATTTATCTCGTAGATGGAAGTGGTCAACATTTTATTTTCAGGTCGTTAACCATTGAGATGAAAAGCTGTGCCCAAGGTTGTAGAAATATCGAGATCGTAGAATAACTCTACGTTTTGTTTTTATTGCAATTTTTGATGGGCATGGCGGGGGGTAAGGATTCGAATTATCGTTATTGTTTTAAGGAAATAAATAATTTTGCGCTTGAACAGAAATTGAAAAGTGAAACGAAGAGACAGGAGAGCTTAGCGCTTCGATTTGATTATCATACACCTTATCTGCCTTGAAGATAACTAGACATAACTCCTTATCAGACTCGGACAGATCTGGGGGAAGTTAGAAGACATTAAAATGGATTTTTTTAGGCTATCTAAGAGACGTTATTCTTCTTTCGCAAGAAGAGCGTTTCGGCGATCCGCATCACGTTAATGGGAGAGGTTAGTTATCGCCCTGTTTTCAGTTGGAGTAATATCTGGCGAGCACCATTATAGGTTGGTGGATACGAATAGGGCTAGATAAATTGTCGATGTTGTTCGTCAGGTAGCACACTGTAATAGGCTAGATATTTGCAGACAAGAATTATGCCATAATTACCCAGATCAGTAATCAAAAATGGGGTGAAGGGATGGACACGAGAATCTATGTTAAGGTTGAGATGAATAAATTGGTTAATAGGTCGACGTGCGACACAATCATGACCTTTAACGGGAATCGAATTAGGGAGCGACTGTATATGGGGAGATCGCATTTGAAAAAGGGTCTTAACCAAATGGCGGTCGATGAAAGCGTAGCCGTTGGCGCCCGTGTCTATGAGAGCTGCCACATGATATCCTGTGCCTGCCTTGGAAAGGATACACGGGAAATCCATGGAGTCACCACCAATTAGCTGTGTAGCGTCTAAGCATCTTATATCATTCACCATGCCTAGGAAGGCTGATTTGCCTCGGCATCGTCTTTTCTCGGGGCTCGTGCTCAACTTAGGTCGTTGGGTCCGTATATATTAAATCCTCTTCCTGAATTTCGTATATACGACCCGAATTGTGTGATGTTTGGCGATCTTTGAAATGAACAGTAGGCTTTCGTAAATCTTCTCGTTGGTTATTTGTGCTTGAGGAATGGAGAGAGCAGGATCCATGAGATGGCCTTTCGAGTGCTCTAAGAGTCGAGATTTGGCTACCGGTTGAATTGAACTTTTAACATTGCCACTTGAAAAATTGACGGGGCGCTTGGTTAGCTTTGAACTTGTGCCGGAGGGTGACGAAAAAGCAGGCAGGGCCCTCTTTTCTGAAGAGGCGTAGGCAAGAGAATGACATTTTTGACCGTGCTGCGTTACCTGAAAATGGCTATCAGCGTCCTGCAGCACGTTGACCCAGTCGTTCGGATTGGGCCAGCATTTCCAGTCAAGTTATTTTGCGTTTGAGAGGCACATGAGGACCTTTGCTCTTAATTGTTGGCGAAGACGGCGGCCGTCCTAGTACTCTGCGTCGGCAAATAGCGTCCTGAATGTTTGCCAGAAATCCCAGAAAGTGTGATGGGCTAGGACTTTCGGCCAATGCACG